TTTTTTTTTCAGACTTTTAGTCATTCGTTCTCGTTTGGAAAAGGAATAAGTATGGGCTAAACATATTCTTTATGAATTTTATTCACACAGGGATACAATGCCCATCTGGCAAGTACTTTCAGCGAGTGGCTAATGAGCATATGTTTCCTGCTGTACTTCTTGACCTTCTTCAGAGAGTTCCAAAAGATAACTGTGCATGTCAAGATTCATCCAAGGAATGCAGAGATTTTTTCTCCAGGACACCATGATGAAGCTAGAATAGTGATGTAGAGGTTACCCGTTGTACAAAATGGAATCTCAGTCATTGTGTCTTGGTGTCATTTGTTGTTATAACTTAGCTAGCAAACCATATGGAGTTATTTAATAAAATAGAAAACATTTTCCGTGTTTCTGTCAAGTTGTGAATTTACACAAGTGCAAGTTTTGGAGAATGAGAGATAACGAGGAGCCATTATTTCCTTTAGAAAACACTGTATTGAAAGGAAAGGAAAACGTACTTTTTTCTTTCAGTTACAGTTCTGTTTCTATCAAGTTATGAATTCTTTTTTTTCAGGGTGCTGTTACAGGACATAGATATTATAGCATAGGTTTAACAGTAATGCGATTTCCTTAAAAATTCAAATTATTTGTCCTGTAAGTCCTTGAAAAGCACTTGAATTTTTGGTCCAAAAAAGGGTTAGAAATCCTTTCTAAGTGGAGGTGATCGGTAACCAGTTTTATTTGTCATATCAAATTAGAAAGATTATGAAAGTGACAAACAGAATATAATAAATATTTTCCGCTCAAATCTTCAGTTTTGGCCTAATATTAATCAGGGTCCCACAGGGTTTTGTAGCTGCGCGAGGGTGCTAAGTTCCTTGCCCCCGAGTGGGGGATAGTGCCGGTGATCAATGCTCGCCATCTGCGCGAGGGTACTGGCCTTAAAAATTCAGGCCCCTAGAGAAGATAGATATGCAGGAGTCCAAGAGCTCACGCCCTTATGATTTTTGTGCGTGCCGAGGGAGAAACGCCTCAAGTGGGCCTTGAACTCAAGAGATCTATACTCATTAGGACCAACTAGGACTAAACTGGGACCGACTAGTCGAATGGACGCTGACCATATTTAAGTTCCTTGAGTTTGCTAGTGTTGTAGCGAATAAAATATGGTAAAGTGAAACTAATCGTTTCAGGGGTCGTTCATAGTTGTTTTTGGTGTCTTTCCTAGCGACCCTGTTACATGGATGTCACATGGTTGTCACCAGTTTTATTACTCAAATTGTTTTCAGCAGTGATTCAAATTCCTGATCAGGGGCGTAGCCAGAAAAAATTGTGACTGAGGCAATGTCCATCTTTAAATTTGCTTCTTTGGTATTTAGCAGTGTTTAACTTTCCCTCGTAAAATAAAAACAAACAGACAAACAAACAAAAAATGACTGAGGCAAGTGCCTCGCTTTAACTACTGCCCTGCTGATCGTTGGAGTTTCAAAAATTTGTTCCCAATGGTCCCTGACTAGAATTTGTACTATTTACTCCTCCCGTAAGGGGCAAATTTGATCTGGTAGCTTCCCGTCCGGGATAGGGTACGATTGCGTCCGTGATACCCTTGCCATGTTCTACAGAGATAACTTCTAATGCAGTTTTCTGTACTTTCACAAGGATGACATCAAAATTGTCGATATCCGCACCATGCCCACAAGTTATCAAGGAAGAATGGAATACCGCTTTATGTAAAATAACGAAAGACAAAAATAGAGAATTTACGACTCTAGACCCTCTGTCAAATGAGATTCTTATTACACTGTAATTAAAGTTGCACTGTTTGCGTGGGTTCGACTCTAAGATCTTGACTGATGTGTCTTAAAACACGTGTTTAATAGAATATTCCTGTTATTCTTGCAAAGGAGTTTAACATTTTATCTCTTGTTCGTTTCAAGATGTTTTCCACCAGCACATGTTGGTATTTTCAGTGCTACAGTTAAGACTTTCGACGGGGTCAATCTCGAGAACCTTGAATGTTGACCTCTGTTGTTTGCATATTTTTGAGTGAATTCCTCGTCTTGAATCGCCTTATTTTCGCGCATATCAATCGAACAGTCCCTCTTACGATTTGCTATTTAACTTTTAGCCTACGTGTAGCCGTACCCACCCCCCGAGGAAAAACGGGAGGGAGGGAACGTCCTGGCAAACACTTGAGATGCTCGAGTGGCTTCAGTCGGCTTTTTCGACCTTCAAAGTGCGTCAAAACTGACAGTGGCAGTATTTGACAGTTTGTCCAATTAAATTTCCTTATTTGTCCAAGAATTCTAAGCGCGTTTGAGACGCAATCAAAACAGATTTACAGAACCTTTTGAAAACCCCTTATGTTGGTCTGGGAAGGCCTCGATTGAAGACAACATAACGAAATAAAGGGACCATGAAAAAGCATATTAATTCAATAGATGTCCAGTTGATAGCAGGAATCTTGTATGTCAATTTTCGTACAGTTTTGAGAGACAGACCGAAATTGTTGATTGGCAGCTCCATGCATTCAGCGGCTATAGTTGTCGCCTCGGGTATTTAAACATTTTACGAGTTCTACGATCACGTTAATTTAATTATCAACACGTAGGGAGAAATTGTTATAAACAATCGAACTTTTCTGCAATGAAGTTGACCAAGAATTCACTTCTCCGATCTGCATCGTCAACTAAGCTTATCAACCACAACAAATAACAAATCTGTTCCAAACATTTCTAGGTGTGCGTATGTGAGGGTTAACTAACGTAGTGGACATCTTTTCAGTTTTGGGAACAAATTTGTAGTCTGTTTGAGTTTGCCTTGCACAATCAAAGGTAAGCCATATATGCTATGAGCATTGAAACGCTTCTCCTTGGTATGATTTGTCGCATAGTGAGAAATAAGCTCGATCTAGAGAAAAAAATAAAATATTTTGTAGATAGCGTGAATGTTTCTCGCTGGGGTGACACCCTAACCCTGTTGTCATCTCGTTCATTTCTGTTGTTATTTCCAAATAGTGTTTCAGTTTGCTGTGGTTGTCTCAAACAAAACACTTTCAATAACAAAACGTTAATGAACACGAGAGGTACTTTTTCGCACAGGCATAGGCAATTTTCGGGAAAAGTCACACAGCTGAGAAAGTTCAAATGCATCTTATATTTACGTTAAGAAAGACAAATATTTTTGTTTGTATTAACGTTTGGGCAATGTAAAAAGTCGAAGTCTGGGTGTATGTAAGCGAAAAATCAAAATGAATGACTATAAAATCCGGCTGAAAAAAAAAAACGTAAATATGGCTATCCAATCAAGCAGAAAATTCGGTTCGGCCGATCGAGCATCTGTTGCAAAGCTCAGTGAAGTCCTCAATACTGCAACAGTTTCAAAACCTGTTGTATAAAACCTTCAGAAAAGACGACGATTCCAGAAAATTTTCTCGAAACTTAATATCATGGTTTTGGAAGCCATCTTGACGGGTAGGAAAAAGAGTCAGAAATAGCAGTGTCGTATCTGTAACTTATACACTACTTACAAGTTCGCGCCACTTCGCGGAAAAACTCATTAACAGTGGAAAATTAAAAGCGCGACTGGACGCTTTCTAACAGTTACATTCCTCAAGTTTGCTCAATGCAATCTGTTGTCTAGTATCTTAACTCTGCAATTCATAGATTATTCAAAATTCGATTTTAAGAAAATTATTCGTCATTGAGCGCTACCCTATTTGGGGGGGGGGNGCATATGTACCGTAAGGAAAGGCTCTGCTTGCAAGGTGGCCCTATGATCGATCTAAGAAAAATTCAAACGGACTGACGGCTTGACGTAAAATGTTCTTGAGGTAGATATTGTTCCTCACCAGTTCAATCGAATTTCTGAATCTTACAGGAAGTCAAAATGCCCTTTACACCAAGGGAACCAAATAGGTGCAAGAGGTGTAGTGGAGCGGTTTACGATGCCGAAATGCAGAAGGACTCGGGCGGTGGTTTCTGGCATAAAAGATGCTATATATGCAAAAACTGTTCGGATAATAAAAAGACTACGAAATTGGACAGTACGACTTGCTGCGATAACGCAGGTAACTATATTTCATCAGTTGGCAATACGTTTATTTTTAAGATGTTGAGAAGACATCCGATAGGAAATCGAGCAATTTCAGTTTCAAGTGGACAAAAACCTTGTACCAGAATAAATTTAAGTGTATTACACTTTTTTTTTTTGCATTTTCTAAAAGCTAAAGATACAAATGGTTGCCTGAAATAACACCAAAAACAGTTTCCCGTGGAAACTCGAGGAATAAATTTCAAAGTTCAGGGAAATCGTGCAATCACAGGTAAACTTTCATCATCCAGGTCTATTTCACTAGTACTTTAAAGTGTTTCATATCAACTTCAAACTTTGCTTTCAACATTTGATGTTGTTAAAAATGATTTTTTTTTGAAAAGATAACTAAAACAGTGGCACAGAAGTTTGCAATAATCTTGACACAAAGTTTTTGTCCACGTGTTACTCGAACTTCTGTTAGATTCCCTCTTAATCCTATACTCTTCGGCAATAAAGGACGTTTGTTTTCTGGGTCAGTTCATTTCTTGTCTGATATTTCGTAGGGAAGAATTGTTTTGCTGGTGGCATGGGGTACTGCAAAGGGATTCCCGGGACAACGTAGGGGCGGGGCGGGGAAATATATCGAGGTTCACAATTTCCTTCCTAGACCGGCTTTTATCTAATCCTCACGCATTGGTAAAGAAGCCCATCACTTATGGTTCATATCTAAAATAACGGTTATGGAAATGAAAAATTCATCGGTTAACTCGTTGACATGTATCTTAAAATGGTTATAACAGTGCATCAGATCCTATGGGAATAATTTGACATGACTTATTCACGATGCCATAGTAAGTGATATTAAACCCCCGCCCCTCCTGCCCTCCGGAAGAAAAAAAATCTTTCTAAACTCAAAAAATATCGAGATTTTCGGATGAATTGAAAAAACCGGAACGTGCTGAAACCGTCATTTGACCCCATCCGTACCGATCAACCCCATGTTTATATTTATTTATAATAAAGTTTCCATATAACGCGCGCTCTGATTGGCTGAAACAGCGTGCTTTATCAGAGAACAGAGCGCGGGTTGATGACGGTAAGTTGGCTTCCAAATTTTTGCTTCGGAATTTTGACAAATTTGACCCAAATTAAACATCCCCTGTGACTCAGACAAACGCACT